TTATTTCAGCACAGTTATTAATGTGAAGAAACGTGCCAAAATTGTTATTTCAGTAGGTAGTCTACCCTATTTACATACTTAAAAAAGATTTTTATAAAAATAACATTCATATGGAAAAACCATGAACGCAGACTTCTAGTGTCATGACATGTCGTCTTATAAATGTTTGTAAAACAAATGATAACCGACAAGTGTTCCGTTTCTTTGAGGTCTGATGTACAAATAATTCTGATAACTTATGACGTGAGCAAACTGTTGCCACGTTTTCTGTGCTTTGTACAAGTGATAATAAGATGTGGTCACGTGATAGCTTTCGCTTCGCCCGCCGTGCGGAGTACGAGACTAACGCCACGACCACGAGAGACTAAAGACTAATTACTCGTACATTCCAACGCGCGGCCAGCGTCCGCGTGGACACGGATGGTTAGGTACACACGTACTCCTGTCTCGTGTTACACTTATTTTATCAATCCATTTTTCTCATAATGGGATTTCCATAAACCTAATGCGGTTACCAACGCCCCTTTATTAGTCCGCATTGTTAAAGTACTACTTACCCATATTCCACCTACTTTGTCAATTACAATGTGAGGAGAACATTGTTTACGCATTCAATTTAAAATGACGCTCGAGCTACCACTAGTGTTATTATAATCGGGAGCGTCCATTTCCACTAATGATAAACCTTCTATTTTTAAAAAACTATTTAGGTATTGCTCCATACAAATAGAACAAGGGAAAACCAAATGCGTTTTTAATACATTGTCGTTTGTAGAACGTAGTAGCCTTTTACGAGAGATAAGGGATTTAGTGAGGTTACCTGTACTAATAGAGTTTAAAATCGATTGTGCAGTGTAATTTAACTGTGTGTTGGAAGGACGAAGCATGCTTAGTTTAGATTTAACAGCGTACGTCACAAAACTGTTATTGCCTATTGTTTCTCGAACGACTTTATCGAATCTATTGCGAAGTTCTTGTTGAAACGTCGAGCGTCAACATAATTTCTTAATACACTTTATGAAGTAAAATGTAATTATTGACAATCAATTTTCTTAATGGAATAGGGCTCTGTAATACTCGTAGCAGACTGACGTTCGTAGCAAAATGTTTAGTCTATGCGACCGACCCCTGACATTAGCGTGGAGCTCACGAGTCTGACAATACGCCATCACTGCAGACAAATGGGGAATGTAGGTGTGTTTTTTTATGATATGCCTACTTACTGACTGCGACATGGTTTTGTCAATTTATGTTGGTAGATAAACTAGATTGCTTTAATCATTACTCAGCACGAATTTTAATACATAATACCTAATACGTGTTATTATACCTATTATTTATATTTTGATAGCCGAATTATCAAGTGAAGATAAAAATACTAGGTGTTCCCAAAACACGAATATCCTCGAATGTCACCGGTGCATGAAAAGTGGTCGTCATTAATCATTTGGCAGAGTGATTTTTCTTGTACGGTACACATCAAAGACACGCTTGTGGCCTCTACGATTCGGATGCGCTGGCGCAGCAACAGGGCGCGGAAGTTTAATGCAGATACGTTACATGACACGACCTCTCAACACACAAATAAGGAATAAAATATTGATATTAATATGAACGTTGATAACAGTGTATAGATAACTTTCACTTGTTTTTTTATTGATTTACAAACTTCCTGTAGCTGCCTACCGTACCTACACTCTGTATATATGTATAATAACTAGTATAAGATTGAAGACAAAATAGCTATAAATACAATGGCGAACTGAAAGCTTGAAACCGACAGCTGGTATACTGCAGATCTCCTCACATGTCTGGGCTTGCTACATTTATGGAGCAGCTATATCAACTCCTGAATACCCAAAAGGCTAACGATTAACATTGAATTTGGATACCAAATGCAAATGTGTTCTGCGTATGTATGACGTCAACAGAGAACTGTTTTCAACACCTAAAGCCGTTTATGTAGGTAAATGTAAACATTTATGTTTTCTTTCTCTCAGGCAAGTTTAACTCCTGCTCTTCTATGAAGTTATTTGAGAGGCGCATGTGATGCCTGGACCGGCAGGGTTATAATGCATCGTCGTGCATTACATAATGCTGTGAACTATCGAACGTATCGGTAGCCGGACGTTTAATATAAAAGTTGTGACGCACGAACGCTCTCTTATCTACGATTGACCTCGTTGAAGGGTTCGGGCCGAAGCTGCAATCTAATTTAAACACTAAAACGTCATAATAGTGATTATTTTTATTAATGATCGCAACTATGTTTGGGTTATTCAAACTACATACAGTAGAGCACGGATATATATGTATTATCGCATCCGTATTTTAATTTGTTTCAGAGTAATGTAGCTCTCGATTTCCCTTCTCCATGATCGATTGCTTCAATATAAAAGCAAAGGTAAACAAAACAATGACGGTTTTAGTGATCCAGTTTGAAGCATCATCAAATTGTTGTTGTTTAAGATTCTGGTTGAAATGTTTACTCTGCGGAGCGTATTTGTAAATAGCACTCTAATATTGATTGCAAACAATGTTATCAGACGTAGCAACGTATCATATAGCAATGTACCGACGTTATTATAGAGAACAATGAACACTTACGCCATGTACCTACTTAGTGCAAATATGTGTTATTTTAGTTGTAGGCTTAAGTGGATGAGTCCTGATGTTCGATAGCTAGCTGATAACACTGATGGTTATCAAACAAAGATAAAGAAAGGTGTGGGTGTTTATTTCAGACGCCATTAACGAAAATGATTAATTTTCTATTTTATGTTACATAATGTTTAAAGGCAAAAGGCATTCGTAACGAACATTACGTGTTAGTTACTTAAGTGGTTTATTTTAATTATTTTCAATGATAATTACTAACACCGACGTCATTAGAAATGAAATGACTAATCAATTACTCGTATGTCGATTGAAGAATTCTTATCACTAAAATATCAGCAAAACAAGTTCGTTTGTTTCAAAGAAAACGTATTTTTGTTTGTGTAGTATTTATAAGACGGATTATCCGGTATACCTACGGACTTGTTATCCTTATCATGACAAGTGTAGGACTCCTAGACACTAGCCAAACATTAGATATGAAAGTTTTAAGTCACAAGAAAATCCATTTAGAAAACGACTTATAAAAAACCAAGAAGTTTTTAGTGTGTTTGTCCGCTGTCATCTCGTGATTGGCTAAACTAATTTTAACGCGGTTTTCAGAAAAGTTTTCAAATATAAAACTAAAAATGATTAAAGTGTTATTTGCTTTTTAATAATGTTGGTTTATAATGATATCTTTTATTTGTTTTTAACATTTCCAATCATTTCCTATTTATAATTTCTGTTGTGCGTTTCCCAGTTGAATTGGATTTTTGTTTATGTATAAATAAATCCTAATTAATAAGTGTAAATTCCGTGTTAAGTGATGACAAAGTCCTTAATTAGCAGTGATTTTCTACTTAGGTTTGGGTTTAACCAGGAAAACATGTAGATATTTAGATATGTATATAAACATAATATGGAAAATGGAAAACTAATTAATTTTATCAAATATTACGTCGCAGGAGTAATGTGTGAAAAGTCCAAACAGAAAATCCATAAATACATGTTTTGTAAAATTGTTATTTACGTATAGCATCAAATATGTAGTCGTTCGTACGTAAGAAAATAATCAATTTTCTTTCAGTTCTCGTAGTGTGAAATTTCCGTGAAGGATAAAAATGTTTGTTCGAGATTAGAACATTCTTGATGCAGTACTACTACACAAAACAATGTTTTTTATTTTGTTTTTCCAAATACACAGTGAGCAACACTAATAGTGAGCAAAATTAGTTCATAAGATGTTTTGAATTAGTTTCTGGAACTATTGAGGATTATGGAAAACATGATACGCGGGTTTCAAGTATTTACTATACAAATATTTTGGAGTTAAGTCGACAAAAGATTTTGGTGTATATATAAATTCCTTAGAGGTTTTTTTTGTGAGGGGAAAATCATCAAATGACTTCTCCCGCCCAGGGCCGGGCGGGAGGGAGTGTCAGATTCTTACTGACTAAAAACCCCCTGTTCCTTCTCCTGCTCTGGGCCGAGGTCGCGGTGCCTCATTGCGCTTACCCCGCAACCCCGGCCTTACCCCGCAACCCCGGCAAATTCCTTAGAGGTGGATGTAAATAATTGTCCTAATGTTGGGGCTTTTTTAATATTGTCGATTTTAGTTGACACTGGGAGTTGAGTTATACATTTTTAGAAGAAAGTGCTTATAGCATTGGAAAAAAATTGAATATAAATTATCCATAAATGTTTTCCCAATTCAATAAATAAACATGGAAATATTGTATTACGATACAAAATTACCATGTTCTGATGTCACACGTAAACATTACAGAAGTGTAACGATTAAAATTTCTTAATTATTACGCATTAATACATCGGATGAGTAATCGTTGACGTACATATATTATATGTTTATACAGATGCGAAGAAGATTACAAGCTATTTAAACACGATATTCGATTGTTATAAACTATGCGTGATAAAGTTACGACTGCCTACTGTACCTAGAAAAGGCACAAAATTCTTTTATAGCACAAATATTAGTAGTATCTTACGTCAAAGCAATTAGATGTAATGGTCGAACGACACGCTCATAAAAATTGTACTCAATTAGGTAAATATTTGAGCCACACTTTGGTCATTACACTTCGTTGCGATATTATAGGTCTATTGTGGTCAGATAGTCTACGCTAGTAAAAATAACAACTTGTGGGCATCGAACGCTTATGTTGATGCCAATTTTGAATAAAACAAATGAAGAATGACAGTCCGTAGTTCTGGTAAAAATAGAATATCATAAATATGAAAATATACACTGAACATATTATTTCAGGGACAATGTTTGACATCAGAATGACGTGATCGTTACGTAATCATCATTAGGAATTCGTTTCCCTAGTCCCGAGTGCGCAAGTGTACATATTTGTAAACAGAAAACTTGGACTTACCGTTTTAGAAGTAATGTGTTGTTCGTTTAGACAGAGCACGTGCGTTTCCCAACGCCTAAGGAATTTGGCTGCTAGTATCTTGTCTACGACGGTTCTGGTATGCTGGAAGCAGCATACCCTGAGGGACCCCTCGGAAGCCAGCTTGTACCGAGGCCCGGGAGGTGGCGCTGGCGTGCCAGCATTATTAGCAGAGTCCAGTCCCGCATTATCAGCACAGCACTCTGGACTTGAGCCCTAGAAAAAAACAAAAATATAGTCCCATAAAAATGCACATAAAATTATTTTCAGAAGAACCTAAGTAGTTAAACTTTACTGTAAGTATTTAAAGTTTTGCGTCAATAAGAACAGTCGTCATTGAAAAAAAAAACAAAATATAATGAGCTGCATTATTAAAAATATGTGACGCAAATAAAAACAGTGTTAACGAGACAAGTTGGCGAACTTGTATAACAATGTTAGTTCCACGTACTACGGGTGAAACAAACTACTGAAAATGTTTGAAAATGAATCCACCAGTGGCTTTAGTCAAATTACTTGCAAATGAATTAAAACCATATTTAAGTCGTATTAAGTGGTAAATTGGTTTGTATTGATATTTCCATAAGCAGTTTTTTAGTCTTGTTTTTATTCAATTTTCCTCTGTGGCTTTAAACTGAATCTATTACTCGTAAAAGAAAACTGACCTTTACTAACATTAAATCAGAAAAGTGCTGACTCAATGAAATTTCTACTACATGTTATTAAAAAGCTGAAGTAATTGTTTGTACACGTGTTATTTGAACACGCTAATCTTCTGAATTACTGATTCAAATGGAATAATATTTTTTTGGTAGATAGTCCATTTTTCGAGAAAGTCTTATGGTCATACTTTTGGAATATAGATGTAGTTAAAGATAATCATGTCTACTTTCCAACTATCGTAGGTAATAAAAAGTCAATTTATTAATAATAGGGGTGTCGGATGCAAGTGCTATAATATACCGTAGCCAAGGCCAGAGTAAGCAACAGAATGGAGTAATTTGGAGTCAGTAAGAGTCTGACACTCCATAATGCCAGTGCCGGTCGAAAGAAGACACTGGATGATTAATATAATGATAATATAACATGCTTTTTACTTATTATGCTCTACAATTATACATATAACCTATTGGATTGGTATTTATAAAAACAATGTTTTGTATAAAATTATATCATTACCACATAGCTAAGCAATAAAGCAATGGAGTTATAGGTTTAATACTCCTTTTTATATACAGTTTATGCTATTAAAATTGTACATACACACCAATGTTTTTGATTGCAGCACTTCGTTAATACATAGATACTGTTAATTATTTTATTTATATATAAAACTATGACGTCAGATATGACCTTGTACTTTAATTTTAATAGTGATAAGAGTAGTTTAACTTTGTTCTGTATGTGTGTTTAAATGTATGTAGGGATTGAGTTCACAATTTGGACTTTCTCCGACTGTATGTAGATACATTTTGCCATTAGGTATAGCTAGATATCGGGTTGTCGGGTTATCTAAAATTTATTAATAGCGTTATACAATAAAACCGAATGGTGTGTAAAAGCGGGCGTGCGGTGGGAATCAATCTGCGCTAAAATTAGATATTGTTACAACCACCTTCATTTCATATTGGTTTCTTTTTACACTGAGATAGCTGAATCCAGTCCTTTGAGTTCAATAATGCTTTTTGTCTCACACTCAAGATATTAGATGAGCATTGTTTAAGAATAAATTAAATGAGACTCTTAGGAACTTTTTTTTTTTTGAGCAGCTCATAAATACGTAAACTAAAATGAATACTGGGTAAAAACTTTCACTTCTATGTCCTTACTGCTAAAATTCTATGGATTCACCTTTTTTACAAATAGAAACTTTATACAAATTATATCAGAAATGATAATTTTACCTCAAATTATGGACTCAATTTAAATTGATTTTCAATTTCGTTAATTTCCTATCTACGTACATATAAGTACCTAGTTCTTATGTAGTTTTAAGCATACGTGCTCAGAGTTCTGTGCACTGTTGTAAATACATAGGTTTGCCGGTTTTATAAAGCAACTAGCGGTCGCCTGCGGCAGCCCGCGTGCATGTCGATTTTATACTTTTTCAAGATTTTTTTTATTTTCTCTACGTGCAACGAATAATTCAAAATCAAAATTAGTCAAATCGGTAAAGGCATTGTTGAGTTAAATATAACATTACAACAAAAAGTGGCATTGCTTTATGAAGATGAAACGAAAAAATCTAGCACAGCAAAAAATCTAAAAAAGAAAATATCAATTTAGTGTGGGTGTGATTCCACGGCTTCATAGCAAACCGGCGTGAAACAATGACAGCGTGATGTTTCGTCGTGTGACTGTGGTTACCGGATCAAATCCCCAAAACCTCAAATCTGAAACCCAAAACCTGAAAAGGTGGTGTTGTATGTTCTTGGGCGGGCGGTAGATTGCTAACCGACGGGAAACACGTTTGTTTATGATCCCATAAAAAAGGTTTAGGTTTTTAAATTCCGAAAACCACAGTTACTACCTATTTAAGGTTAACGAGTGTCCTTGATGATAAATAGAACAATTAATTTATATAGAACAAATAATAGTTTTGACGTCATACATACTAATATGGTATAATATATATATGTATTGTATTGTTCTTTATGAAAATAGTTTTTGTGTTCGCTTTCCGCTTGGGGTTTGTCCCGCAAATCATTAAAAAGATTTTTCATAATCAATAAAATAATAAGTACCTAGTAAATGTATGACCCTAAAAATTAAGCTTTTCAATAGTGCAAGCCAAGAAATTTAAGGCTATTTAATAATGCAAGTAAAGAACCCATAAAAACGTCCTATTAATACTAGTAGTTTTGTTATAAATAGATAAAATTATGTATAGATTATGTGGAAACCAATTTATTTATATATAGTTATACCTAAACATTCTATGTTCCAAATATAGATATTATTTGACTGACAATTTGCTTTGGAATTAAATATAAGCTTGATAAACTTGTTATTATGTCTCTAATCCAATGTTAAATAACAAAAAGCTTTGTTTCTTAGTTTAACTATTACTGAAAAGGTGTTAAAAACACACACTCACAAAAATTCATGGAAATGCCTCGTGCGGTTGCTATTTAGAGTCCCGTCTTCCTCCGAGCTCGTAATTCCATATAGACCCATTAATCTATAATGCCATAAATCCGTATCTGTTGTTGCGAATGTTTACATTACACTTTTAGCCTACTATTCGGAGCGTTCAGCCCAAAACAACAAATTTCTATGTGTGCGTAGTTCAGATAATACGAATAAATGAAATCTTTTAACTTTGCGCAACTCTTCTTCATATTTCGTTATTATATCTGGCTGAAAAGATTGTAAAATTTAAGTGTGAAATAAGAAAAATACGGATGTAGATATATTTTTATTGTTTTTCTACCAATAGGTAAGCTATAACTATTTCTATTACAGTAAAAGTCTTTACATTTTAAGTGCTTGCCTTGCTTTTTACTAGCACATTCGTCAAAATAACGTCTCGATAAAAGGTGGTAGGTATGAGCGCGATGTGTGTGGCCTCTCCTCATATTGCTATTACAGTAACGACAATAAAACTCTGTCTAAGGTATTTACTGACATTTTAGTGCTCATAAGTGCCTACATTGAAACCGCATAGTATTCAAGGAATCTTACAGAAACAATTTCTACTTGGTCTTTGTTACCAAAACCGAAAACGCGAAGCTGGAATTCAGCAAAGTTTAATCTTTTATTATAAATTTAAATACAAAGGATTAAACGAAGACCATTTTTAACACGACTCCATTTTCAATTTACATAAATTTTAATTGAACTTTTCTTATACATTTATTACGTTTATTCTGAACGTAGCAACTCGGTACAAGGCCTTTACGTCGACGTCAATCCGTTCGTTTGAATCAATTATGTTTATTAGACTGAACATAAGTCATAGCGATATTATGAATGTCATTCCAAAGAAGGTAACGTGACCTAAAATTATATCTTTGATTGTTGGTATCTTATCTGGTGCATTATCTGGGTGCAGAGTGGGTCGGTGGTGGCGCATGTCATGACCCAAATAGTGGTCGGTGTTCGGTGACGTCATTGCGAAAATTTGGGTCATGAGGGCGCGGATACCGAGGCACCGCGCTCTACTCCGCTCGAGGAGATCGACCCGAATGGAGAACACCAGCAACGCTTCAGCGCGTACACTGAGGTATCATAATGTACCACAACACTAATATCTTGTTCTGTCTCTGCAATAGCAGCTTCATCAGCTGAAGGGCTATCTTAGTCTGCTCCATGCTTTGAATTCGCATTAAGATCAATGTCAGTGCTTCATTTTAAAATACATGTTCAAACTGCATACATAGCCTCTATATCTATATCTATCATCCCTAAAAGCAAGCATATAAAAACTTTTTCGTGCAACGAAACATTTGTTTCGAAACCAAACTTTTTTCCGTTTATAATTTACTTACATGTTATTATTAGGTAGGTACCTACGAACAAACGAAATTTATTTTTGTCAGACAGCTTGATAACAGTGACGTAGTTTTTCTTTATTTAATACTTATATCATACGTTTTGAATTTCAAAGATATCACTTCTTAGAATAAAAAATATTTGTCTTTTAGTTGTTTTGTTAAATTTAAGTAAATAATTCCTAATAAACATATTATGTTTTGGATCTAATCGCGGCTTAGTGGAAAAAAACAAATCCCATATGCAGTCTTCACTCAAGAATATTATGATGGCGATCTTTAAACTGATTTAACCTTCGCTCCACCGAGCCCAATCACTTGAAGTCAATTACAGTGTATTTAGTGCCTCCTGTACGTGTCCAATACTAAATGTAACAGCAAACATGGTCAAACACACATTACACCGAGTTAATATAGATAAGAATTTTTACTTTGGCTGGCGCTAATCCGTCTCTTGTTTGGATTGGTAGTAAGCCAGCACAGAGCCGGACTGTTGTTTCACGGGGCCCTAAGGTTACACTATGGGCCCATCCATAATCAGATTTAAATACATATATAATTTGTTCTATTATTATCACTATGCAACGATTTTTAAGCAGGTTAAAACAAAAACATTATTTTTAGTTATTTTTTTATAAGTTGTAATAAATATGGATAATCATATTTAATAGAAACAGTTTTATATTTTCGGGGCCCTAGTCTGCAGCCCTTCTATCATCTTTTAGATAGATCCGCTCCTGGCCACGTATGTAGGTATGTTAGTTTATCTTCAGGTGCTATTACCTACTTACTTGTATTCAGTATCAAGTCCTTATAATTTAAAATGTAGTGTCACCTTCAGTTTGAAGGTTGAAAAGTGTGAGGTTAATAAAATTCGAGGTTATGTCTAATCTTATTTAAAACAGATTCTGACGGTGACAATGAAAGGCAATGAACAGCGGTATCCTCCTGAATAAATTCGCAAGTAACATCTTTATGGCTGTAATTTTCGCCATGGATACAAAAATCTTGATCTATTGTGGGTTACTATTGAGATGATCTATTGTATGTTATCGAGGGTACTGTTTTGTGTAGCTGAAGGAAGTAAACTGTGTCGCTCCTAATATAAATAATTAACCTCACAAATAAATTTCAATACAAGTTATTGTGACCAATCGAAACTAGTATTTGATTAACCCGAAAATTGATATTTAAAAGGCTTTCTACTTTTGACTACGTATTTTTTTAAAGCTGGCGATATCTATGAGGAGACATGAAATATTTTATTGTTTCATTGCAATGAAAAGGCACTGAAACTACTCTAGCTACGTGTCGAGAAAAAGTTCTAGATAATGTACGCGAGCAGATTCGCAAACCTTGAAACGTTTGAGATGCAATATTTAATTTAGACTTCGTACCCGCATCACAAGAGTAACACCGGAAACTGATTTCTAATCGCATGAATCTTGTTATATAAGTTAATGCATACTGCTTCTTCCCTTACTCATATGTATTACGACACTAAGTCAACATAACAAGTCTGAATGTCTGTCCGTGAACTCATTTTTTACCGCTATAGGTTCATTGTTACTCATTACAAGTGTCATGTAATAACTAATTAGAATTGCATTCACACCTTTATGACGTCTAAGGGATTTGCAGTTAGGCAGGATAATGGTAGCTCTAGTATACAAACATAATGAATCATTAATGTCTACAGTGAATAGTCAAAATTATTTTCTAGTAAACAGTTGAATTTGTCATCATCGGTCAATAGTGTAACCATATTTACCAGGAAGTTTGGATGTGTTGTTTTTACAATTTAGGTACTTAGGTACTGTTAGAGGAAACTGTAAAGTTGAGTGTGGGAGAGCCAAGCTTCGACACGAAATCGGAGTGGTACAACGGCCTCACAGAAAACCGACGTGAAATAGCCACAGCGTTGTGTTTCGCCGTGTAAGTGAGATCATCTGAGGCCCAAACTTTCCCCCCGCCCCATGCCTACCCGATCCCTAAATTTCAGGAATCCCAAAAGGCTGGCAAGGCACTCGAAACTACGGTCGCTCATGAGCAGCGCTGATTGCTTACCATCAGGTAACCAGTCGGCCCCGATGTTTGGCGATCCCTGATATAATAAAATAAGGTAATTGAAGTCCAAATTGTTGAATTTATAAATAAGAACAATGGATAGCCTTTTTTGAAGCGGTTGAATAATCAAATGACTTCGCCCGCCCAGGTAGGTACGGGGAGTGAGTGTCAGACTCTTACTGACTAAAAACCACCCAGTCCCTCCATCTGCTCTAGACCGGGGCCATGGCACATTGTTGCACATTAATATTTATTTAATTGTAATAAGGCCGCATTTTTTTATCTATACATATAGACTACTTCTTCACTTTTTTACTTTTCTATTCCTATTTAACCAATCGTACCAAAAATTAGATCAGACCTTTTTTAATCGGACACTATGTTTTACTAATTTGCCGGTAGCACGACGAACTACTTAATACTCTTTAACTAGTCATAGATATAAACAATGGCTTGTAAAAATCGATATTTATGCCATGAGTAACCTTGAAAGTAACCCGAGTGGTATTCGTAACACTACAGTTTTGCGTTGTGTTACATTGTGATATTTTGTGACATTTTAGAGTGAAACCAAATTAAATATTGTTTAGGTTGTTTATCCCGTTGTCATCCATGCGCACATGATATGTAGGTACATAGATATGTATAGGTACGTATGTATACATATTTAATGAATATCCGTTTATGCATACATGCATACGGCACGTAGGTGGAGAAAATATATTAGGTATGCCTTGGTATGTATGTAAATTTGAAAACAGATTTCATGCGAGGGAAAAATCACATCCGATTTTTTTTGCAATAAAGAACTCATTATTGTATTATGATAATATTCTTTTCTCAATTGATTTCTTTGGATTTTGATACTTAAACCTTAGAACTTAATCCTTAATTATTCTTTGCTGACGTACCTATACTCGTAGTTCATTAAAAATCAATTAAAAAAATTGACAATACAGATTTACGATGTAACACGATACTAAATATACATATTAAAACTAAGACCTATGAGAACATCTACATAAATCTCGTCACAAGACGAACAATCTTCATCGACCTGTTTTCAGGAAAAACTGAGTTTAATTAATCGTCTGCGAAGATTCAGTAGGCCACTGAAGCGAGGATCTGATGAGATCTAGTTCAGTGACCCAGTTGTTTCTGTACAAACATTGTTATTTGCAGGGTTTTACAATATCTTTATCTAAGCCTAAAACACACTGCTTACGTAAATGGTCTTACGTTGGCCACTTTTGTTGACCTCACCTACTTTGTACCTGAGCTTAGGTAAGCTTTGAGGAAAAACGAACATTAACTAGGCACTATAAAGATGTTATGAAAAAATTGTGAGAATACAAAATTACAAATAAACAGTTACCACAATTTAGACGCATATTGTGGTTTACATTGACCGTTTCTTAAGAAGCGTTGGTTAGGGTCAATTGTTTACTAAAATAACTTAATTGTTGTCAATGGACTGTGTACAAGGTGCGTAACAAAGTGGCTTTTGTTTAACTTGAGAAAAAACATAATTAAATGTTGAATAAAAAGTGGTTGTCTTCTATTGTTGTACAGATTTGTGACGTAAAGTGACTGGTTAAGATTAAAGTTGGGTTGAACCAATCGATATAGCACGCGGGGCACGCTTGTTGGTCTGGCGCGGCGTGCTGGTCATGAAGTGACGGCGTGCCCGGCGTCCCTCTATACCTAGGTATACTTGTATCGCTCATGGCGCACTCTGCTCTACCAACTGCCGTCCCACTCAGCGAGGGGTGAAGGACTAGCGTAATTAAACGACACTTGTATAATAAAAACACTTCTCATGCTCGCTTTTAGATGCTTTGTCGTGTTTAAAAAATGTTCCCATTTTACATTGTTTTAAACAGAAATTACAATACCTACAGATATGTACTATGAGGCTAGTGCTAATCATGCTTGGTCGAAAGCCTCCAATACGGTTTTATAAAGATTAAGAGACTACATTTTCCGCAGTTATAATGGAGGAGATAACGTGGAGGATAATATCTTTAAAATTACAGAAACACTGTTGTGTTGCAACATCAAAAGTTCAGGAAAATGTAAAAATCTTTCATTTATGTTTTTGTTTCTGTAATATTATAAGTATTTAATACCCTGTAAGCTACTGGCCGAGCAGCCATTAACGTACACACTAATACTGCGTGGCTTACTTGTTTTATCTCAAACAATTTCAACCTTATGTTGAACATTTAACGTAAAGTTTTAATAACAAAGTCGTAGCGTTTCCAAAGGATCTAAATTCTTTAGCGTCGCATTACTTTGTTTGCATATTTGATAATATAAATTCACAATAAACAATACATAATATTTGAACACGGTGAAATAACGAGAAAAGAAATTTACGTAAATGAGGATAACAAGACGATGATTATGATGTCATTTAATAAAATATTTTATGCCGTAATATGGGGAAAAAGGACCGATAGATTTTTAAAAAAGTGTCTAGTATATTATTGAGAACAGCAAAAAGTATTAATGCTCAGCCAACTAATGTTTTACAATTATCCCTTGTACAAACTACCCCTTTTTGGCAATTTTATTACAGATTCATAATAAGCAGTCCTACTTAGGTACAGATATTTAAATAATACTATTAAATCAATGAGATAGATAAATGAAATGTACTGTATAAAACATAATGCAATTCATACCTGCATAACGCAAGTCGAACGTAGCAGCCACTAATCAATTTTGAATCTTATTGTACGAAAATTAAAATCACTTTCACTATGCAACTGACAAAAAGCTCAACTATATGGTAAACCTACACCACGTGCATACAGAAACTGTATAAGAAGGAAATTACTAGTACAGAATAACAAATAAATCGCATTTATTATCAAGAAAGATAAAACACTACCTATGTCATATGTTGTTAAAGATAAGATACCGGGTTGAACAAGAACTATCAAAATTGCCACTATTAGCCAAGGAATGTCTGTTTGATGGATCATCAGTGTTTATTTGGCTTAACATTATCTTGCCTTGTCTATTTCGTTGTGTATCTGCCGAAATGACTTGAGACCACGTTGTGGGCCGTATGTTTTGTACTAACATCGAAACAGCTGTACTACCAATAGCTGTTGTTGCATGAATAACCGGCGACGCTCTCGTGACGTCAACACTTGATATATACAGCAATGTTCTTACTTTAATGACGTACATTTATGGGTGAAAGGCTGTAGGATTCGCTCAAGATACTCTTTATTGCTGCTTAACGGACTGAAACATGTTTTTCTTTCATCAAATCTCAATGCAATGAATTATGATATGCTTGCTTTGGCCAAAATACAAAAACTTTTAATTAGAAAAAAACATTAAATGTCTCCATAAATCTTAACTAACATGCTGATGAGACATACGAGAAAAAGCAAAATATGAGATCAGTTTTTGTTTTCAAAAGTTGTTTTGTGTGCTTAAATTTTGAACTGAAAGATTTCATAGGATATTTTCATTACAAGGCTATAAATATATGTTTTTCCTTACTATTTTAAAGATTCAATAAATTAAAATCGAAGCACCCCATAAAAAGGTTGTTAATAAAAGAGGTCGTAATACACAGTTTCCTTGACGTTAATATGTTACTGCTTGGCATAAATCTTCATAGATAGGTGTAATGATTGCCAACATAAGTGAATAATTATAAACATTAAATTCCTAAGGTACTAATGTTTACTTATTCAAACGTTTACCTACGTCAGATTTCGTAATAAGACAAGCCCACAAAATATGAACCATAGGTGTCAGTAAACAGTGTGTTCAATAATATCTGTGTGTTACGTTACAACCCGGCTTAGCGATGCGGTCGAGAGAAACCGCGAAAACTGAACCGAGCTACCATTACGTCTGAACACCTCCTACATACATAACTATAAAGATTTAGCTTATAGGGAACTGATTACAGCTCATTCTTAAAGCAGTGCATCAAACCAGTGACCCGACTTAATTCATGCCTGACTACGTGTTTAACAATTCATGGCACGATCGTTAAATTTTGATTTATGTAGAAAAATGCTTTGTTTTCGACGAAGTGCGTGCGTCTTCGAAACGCAAATACTGGCTTGTGTACGTATATAGGTGTTATGTAAATAATCAGCCTCCGCGCGAAACATGTATGACTTTTGATAAGAACGTTTACAGGTAGTATTTAATTCAGCCGACAGTAAATAATATGCGATGTAACGTGATAAGGAATTGTGGAGACTTACAAAATATTCTGCGGAGCTCTGGTCTGCCAGTGAAGGCGACAGCAGACAGCCAGGAGAGGGCGGCGCTGTGGCTGCCGGGGGCGGCGGCGCCAGCGACAGCAGCTCGCCTGCCGACGCCGACATGCTGCCAGCCGCGGCCAGGCTTCGGAGCCGGTCCGCCAAGTCCGTGTGCCCGGAGTTACACACTTTACTGATATTACTATCTTTTTCATCTTTAGAACTTAGATTGTTTATAATCCGCGGCCGGCGCAGCTTCCTTGACGCAGCACGCCACCGCCTCAGCCGGCAAGCCGCATTATTCAACACCTCTTCAGTTTCACGGCTTTGCTGTAATTCCTCTTCAGAATGCGTGGCATCATCTCCGTCTACCTGTTCATCTATAAAAGGTAGTGTCTGTGATAACGCAGATGGAGATGGTTCTCCATCACTGAGCGCTGTGCTCGATGGGGTCAAGAAATCCCTCAGAGCAAAAGCGATCTCCTGGTCAGCATTTAATCCCGCCGGCGCGTTATTCGGAATTGGTTCGGCCGACATATACCGACTCTCATCGATTTTGCCATCTTTGGCATCAGTCTTCAAGGCACCATTTTCATTAGAATTCAGATCCACATTAATTTCTTGATTGTATGAAGGCATTTTGAAAAATCGGCAGTTAATAAAATTCATTTGTAATTATACAAATGCCGCATCGGCACTGAGGGTACCTATACTTAAAATTAAATAAGCTTTATTTTCACGATCTGAATATCTGGCTCGGGCGACTCTGATTCCGGCATTCATAAAAACCAAAACATAACGTAGGCAACAATCCGAACATTTTTATCATAAACTTCGACGATACACTTATTTGAACTTTTATATCTACTGCAGATTTAAATTAGGCACGGTTATTTAATTTGTCTCGTAATGTTAACTGCAACTCACTGAACTAAAATTTAATTTATTTAAATAAAGGATATCACTCGAATATATCATAATTAAAACTCGCGGCAATAATATTTTTTAGTTTGGATTGCATTCACAATCAGCCTCGAATTACACAAGCAGTGTACGCAAACTGAGCGGAGCACTACTGGCTGGCGCTATCATTCTAAGCTATACATATACTATACGTGACGTTCTATAAAGACAGCACACCTCTTGTTTGTATTGACGACGTATGCCCGGCTTGCGCAGAGCGAACATTGTCGGTGGCGCCACGCTGCGGATTCGTGACAAACTTCAACAACGCCATCTGTGCAAGTTCTCAGATCGTGCGATAAAGCGGACTGGGAATATACTGAAACCATGGCAGTGCGGAACACGTTCGGAAGGTGGCAGTAGTTCAAATATTTTTATTGATACGTAACGCACGCAATTCCCAATACATTAATTGCTTGACGTAATGTAATAAAATTGTTGGTATTAAAACATCTAATCATTAGCTGGGAAATATTGCAACACTGTGTCTATATAGGTACCTACATAGTTTTCTAATTTATTACTTACAATACGAGTAAAGTATTTTAATTTAATCTTATAAGTGTTGCCAATATCTTTCAACCACAATGATGAATACAAAAATGTAGAAGTAGGTATCTAAGTTATTATAAAAAAAATTAATTCTGTCTGTTTTATCCTGTTATTCGGCGTCATGTACATAAGTCAGTCTAAAAAGCAGGCAAGGAACACAAGTTACCTTTTTTGGGAAGGGAAAACCCTCAAATGTCGTTTTTCCACCCTGTGTGAGTGAGAGGGAGTGTCAGACTCTTACTGACTAAAACCCCACCGTTCCTTCTCCTGGCCATATTTCACAAGCAGTAAAATAAATACTTATCAATAAAATTGAATGCTCCAGGCTGATTATGGCCAAAGCTTTCAATGTATCCATGTTGTCACTACTCGTATTCGCAGTAAATGAGTTTGATATGAAGTAGTTGCGACATTTCCCTTTTTATTGAAGAAATCATAGTGAAATGTGAATAGGTACATTTCTCTGGGAATGATTTCCTGGGATATACACATGTAGGTTAGCTGCTTAAAGGAAACCGTTGGAATTACGGAGAAACCATTTGTAATTTTAATACAACAATAAATGATCAGTGGGTTTGTTTTATATCAATTTTTCCTATTCCCGATTTACGTCCTTAGTATTTTTGACAAAAACAATATTGACTAATGAATCACTAACGACGTTACCTATTAATGAATACGTAGTACGTACGTATATTGTGTTAGGTTTCTTCTAGCATATGGGGATTTTGAATGCCCACACCATTAAATGCTTTTGTTAGTTACAGGGAGAAGTTATTTTTTAGGGGGTGCAATCATCCATTTGATCGGCTTCATCTAGTTTTTTACATAAAATGTTGACGTGTAAAAGTGCTGTTTTATGGCCTTTTTGCAAAAATAAATTCATTGTTTAAGGTTTCATAGTTTTTATTGCCTTCTCCCGCCCTGGGGCAAAAGGCAGTGTCAGATTCTTACTGACTAAAAACCAACTCTGCGATACTTCACCGGGTTTACAGCGTCAGCCCTGGCTAGAAAAAGGGTTATATCGTATTTTAAATGGTTATTTATTTGTGATGCCTCTATTATTGGGGATACGTTACTTTATTGGCTTGGACTATTTGCTTATCACGGACAAATACATATTTTGCTATACATATATGTAATATTAGTACTTCACAAACTCGTAGTTCGTTTCCTTGTCATAAATTTAGCTTAATATTCGACTATACACATCATTTCAATTTGTTTTTTCCTCAAGGATTTTCGCACAATTAGCCACATTCCACCAAGCCCAATTCCAAGCTCCTCAAACTTTAGTGGTATTGTCGTCCTTGTTTACCGTCAGGAGAAAGGTCTGGTCCTTTATCCTATTTTTTTTATCGTCCCTTACTAGGATTTTCTCCTGTGCCGTAGGTGCAATTACAAACATACAAATTGACATACACATCATACCAGGAACAATTTGTGGATCACAGAAAGAGTTGTTCCGTTCGGGAGTCAAACCCGCGACACGCTGCGCGGCAGTCAGTTGCACAGCCTCCGCACCAATCGTGCAGTCAATCAAATTGAAAGTCCAAATCAAATTAACTAATAATAACTACTAATAACATTCGACTGATAAAACCTACATTTAAAAACGACGCAGTAACACTATGGAAAAAATTATACGGAACATATAAAAATTTCACCGATTACAATATTATTATTATGTTTGAAACGTTATACTTATTACTTTTTACCCAAAATAGAGGTTTTGGCAATCTGAACTATAAGTACAATAGACACATGGATGCACAAATGCTGCACTGACAAATAATGTGAATGGCATCTATTTACTGCGACCCCGCCACGGTCTCATAACTGCATGTGTTTATGAAGCTCAATGGGTATGCTAAACGATGTTTTTATTATCCATTCGACAAGGCTGTATTATAGATTATGACGGAACTGACCGTCTGGCAAAAGCAAAAAAAAAAAATACTAAATATATAGAACCAATTTTCTTTATTTTATAAATCAAATAAATAATTTTATAAATCGACAACTAGTGAGTACTTACCAGTACTTACCTATAAATCACATTATTCTCACCGACAAAGAAGGCTCATTTGGGTAGTTTCTACTAGGTATAAATTAAATATTTTAACTCATAAAACCAGAAAAGTACTTCAAAATAACTATTATATACGTTTATCAGAGGGCATGGCAGTGCCCCGACAAAATCTCAAGAAAAACGGGCACTGCCATACCATCCTTTTCTCGAAGCATTTTGCAGCTATTTCATCATTTTATAATTTTTACGATATACATAATATTCTTTTTTTTAATATTTCAAGAAAACTAAGTGTGCTGTTTGTCGTATACCTAAAATTCAAAGAAATTGTATTTAATTAAATTGTAAATTGTATAGTATTTAATTTTTCGGAAATAGTATTGAATTTACTAGTTGGTAACTACCCTAAATAGTATAAGATTTTTTTAAAAAATATTTGAAGATTTTCTGAACATAACAGATACTTTAATTTGATTAGATTTTATCTTACAAGGAGCAGACCTATTGCCATATATTAAACACGAATCGCTTGGGACATATCCAGTTATTAAAGCCATACTTGTGGAATGTAGCACTGACTGACTGACCTATAACCTCATCATCATAATTCGTATTGTTTTCTTCCCATATTAAGTTAATTAGGATTCTTGTAGGTATCATGAATTAGGTTTAAACTCTCTCTATATTAAGTTTTATGTAATGTGGTTACCCGGGAATTTGTTATATATTCACGTCACTAATAATGCCTAGCGACTGCTATGACGTACCGGGAATCACATTATGCATAAGTACTTATTAATATCAACAAATTTGCGAGTAGAACCATAGTAAGCGACAAGCAAAATAAACATATTATAATGTTTTAAATCCTTTGTTACAGTTCTATACTAGCCATTACGGTTCAAGAGCGATGAGATTAAAATAATTTACTCTTTCAAACGATGACGAAATTACGACACTTGCCCGTTGACAAAAGATTAGTAATCCACATTTTGTTGATTGCAACAATTTGTCGCCATACGATCATGCGCATTACACCATGAAGGCTGCAGTAGTTAGGGAAATACCATCAATTTTAAGGACGTATTTAATGTTTAGCTCATCGTCACCTTCAACTATATCAAACAGTGGCCGGCTGCGGCGGCCGGCGTTCGTTTAGCAAATTAATCAAGCAAAGAATATTTTTTCAAAATGTGTTTGTGGATTCTAACAGCATGTTTAGGGATGCTCCCGGCGAACCCGACGCCAATTGTGATCGTGTCTGGGGTGCCGGCACCTATCATAGTACCTACTGCTGCACCAACGACGGCAACTACGACCACGACTGCTGCAACCACGAACGCCACGGTCGCACCTACCCCAGCACCTACAACTACTACGACTACTACAGCAGCAACGACTACCACTACGGCAGCTCCTACGACTGCGTCTACAACCACAACTACAACCACTACTGCTGCCACGACGACCACAACCACAACTACTTTAGGTGGCATGCTTTTGTCTCTCATAATTTGTATGGATCCTGACGTAGTATGTATATCTAATCCTGATGAAACCACCACAGGCCCGCTCCCGATTGACCCTCGGCTCGGCACCACCCCGGCTTCTTCGGCAGCTGTTAATATGCCGCCTATAAATGGATATAGTGCACAGATACCATCATACAATACCGCTGTCAATTTCCCACGGCAACGCAGAAGCGTAGACCAGAAATCCGGAGTAAACATAAAAGAGTTCTTATGTAACTTAGGATCGGAAAAAGAGCACAAAATTGTAAAGAGACAAAGTAACTGTGCATGTGTGCCTACTGGAACTTGTATTCGGTCCAGTACAAATTCAGGTGCTGGTATGATTGATATCAGGATTGTTACTCCGGTAAGTAGAAGTTTGGCTTTACTTTTAAACATTTTATTTGACCTATGAGTATCAAATGTCGTGACAAATCATTCAGGTAGTAACTCAGTGCCCAGCTGGTCAGGAGTATTGTTGCGGCAACACTACAACGTCTACACTGATATCTTGCGGAACGCTGCAATCTGTGCCAACTACAGCTATCACGCCGGCTGCTGGACAAGCTAACTTCGGAGAATATCCTTGGCAGGTATGTACTGCTTGATTGCAGAAAGTTTTATAGTCAGTCTTAGGGTAGGTCTTAGGTATAGCCTACACCAGATGAGGCTCAATGGGCTGACATTCAGCCGTAAGGGTAAGGGCAACAACATACCTCTATCTCGGCCTGGAACAAGAGAAATCACTGGAGGGTTTTAGCCACTAAGTGTCTGACACTCTCTCTCGCCTTACCCTGAGCCAAAAAATATTGATGATTTTAAGCCTACAAAAAATAAAGTAAGGATAAGATTACTGAAATTATCTCTCTACATTACAGGCACTAATATTGACGAAACAAAATGACTACATAGCTGGAGGTGTGCTGATTAATCAGTTGAATGTTCTGACTGTCACCCATCGATTGCTGCCATATGTGTAAGTTATGAAATGTTTTTAGCATATTTTATGTACGGCTGGGCTGTTTGAGTTATCTTCTAAGGCTACCGTTATAGACCTACCTACTTAATATTTATCTTATCTACTGACACCTCAGTGTTGGTTCTATTATAAAGAAAAATATTCCAAAACGGAGTTCTCACCTCGTTGTAAACTAAATTTCTATAAAACGTCAGTGTTTCAGGCACAGCTCCAAATGTAAAAGTCCGTCTTGGTGAATGGGATGCAGCTGGAACTTACGAGCCTGTCCCTTTCCAAGAGTATACAGTAACCAAGGTCTTCAGCCACCCCAATTACAACGCTAATACCTTGCAATACGATATCATGGTGTTGAGGCTATCAGCTACTGTGCCTATCACACCTAACGCTGGAGCAGCTGTCACTATCAACAGAGCTTGTTTACCGCCGACGTCTAGTACCACATATACAGGACAAAGGTAGGTTTTAAATAGTTTCAAAGCGTCTTGACTATTTTTTGTCTCATATAATATGTAATTATTTCTTTCAAATCTAAAATTAAGAACTTTAAGTCTATTCCCGGTTTTCGTTACTCCCTGTAATGAAAATGATACTGGCTGCATACTGACTAAATGATGACTGGCAGAAAATGCCGCTAGTATTAAATTCTCAGATATGCAATTTTTTAAAGTCTAATTAAATAAGTTACTTAATATAATTATACACAACAATGGCCAATGGATAATGGGCCACTTCATTAACATCTACAGCTATTATGAAGTGCAGAGACATTAACATACATGCGATAAGAAATTTCACAAGAATTTCTCTCTTGTGCTTTCAGATGCTGGGTATCAGGTTGGGGAAAAGACATGTTTGGCATCCAAGGCCAGTACCAGCAAATACTCAAAAAGGTCGACGTGCCCATAGTAGCCCCAGCCACATGTCAGACTCAGATGCAAACAGCGCGACTTGGAGCATCATTTGTACTGGACACCACTTCTTTCATCTGCGCTGGAGGAGAAGCTAATAAGGATTCGTGTACAGTAAGTACTTATTTTATTACGTAGTACGTTTACGATAAAAGACGAGCACGGCACCGAGAACACGTGTATACAGTATGTATGTAGATACGTATGCAAAGGTACAAGACGGATGTTTTTGCATTAAATTACAAAAAGTTCGTTCTAGTTAAGCATTAATAATATTAGATGGCACCGCAATTTAGAAAATAATTGACTATCGACCAAACTGAATAAATGGCAAAGCTAAAAAAGCAAGTCAGCGTCTACTTTTGAATAAAGAAGTTAACGTTTTTAAAATTCGAAGTAGCTACTAACGAATACAAACATAAATGATTTAGAATTACAGCTCAGTTTATAAGAACTCCAGTACTGATAACTTTGTGTTTTTCAGGGTGACGGTGGTTCAGGCTTAGTATGCCAAGTGAATGGCCAATGGGTCGTTGTGGGGCTGGTGTCGTGGGGTCTCGGATGCGCTAATGCGAACGTTCCCGCCGCATACGTCAATGTAGCAGCTTTCTTGCCCTGGATACAACAGCAGGTGGCCACTGCATAACGAACCAACTCAATCTATTGTTAAAAGCTATGCCTTTGTTGACAAACTAGACATCGACTTATTTATAAAATTGTATAATGCTATCAATTATACAGATTTGTCTGTAGTCGGCAATTTTAATAAATACTTAACTAGGTAAATAAAACAAACGCATATGGTTATTGAAGCTTAACATAATATATTAAGTTAACAGTTTATACAAATAGCCATGTAAACATTATAAAACATACTCCTAGCCAACATAAACGATAGGTACGGACTACTTACAGGAAATACAGCGTTCTGAACGCAAAACTTTAACAACTAACCATTAACGAAACTAACCACTTAAACATAGCTCGTACGGACGTAATCTAGTATTGCAGCGGGGTTGACCGCATCAGGGACGACACATTCACTGTATGACGAGGCATCAGCTACTCCTCGTCTGGCTTCTCTTGTTTTACTACGGGGGCGGGAGACGGCGGTGCAGGGGGAGCGGGCGGCGGTGGTGCGGGGGGAGGGGACGACACTTCAATATACTCGTCAGTTCCCCGCTCTTCTTTGATTTCCGGCTCACGTTTAACCTCGGCTTGGGGCGGCGTTGTCTGAGGCTCTGGCGGTGCCAAAGCAGCCCACGCAGACGCAGCACCACGAGCATAAGCTTCATAGAATGCCCTCTGTGCTATCTCCGCCTCTTCAAGGTGCACAAACGCATGGTTGTCGAGCTCCGCGCGGAAAAAGAATTTCAGTCCACAACGCGCGCAGTCGTAAGGTCGCGGGGCAGAGGCATGCTCAGGGAGGTGGCGTTGCAGGCCTGCCGCGCTTGTGAATACAGCTGAGCACAAGTAGCAGGTGAAGGCACCAATGCCAGCAAACGTGTGTTCGATGAGATGAGCCTGCAGTCTGGTGGGAGAACCGAGTGCTCGTCGACACAGGCGGCAGTCGTGGTCGGCGGGAGGTGGGGGCCGCGGCGCAGCGTGACGAGCGTAACATGCTGAGCAAGCACGAGCACCCTCACCAGCCTCACCCTCTGGTAGTGCGCGGAGACATATCGCACATCTCTGCTCATCCTCCCCAGGTCGCAGATGAAAACGTGCATGCAGTCGTGCCTCAGCTTCCGACGCTAGTGTTTGACGACACACTACACAAGGCGCAGGCAAAGCTGGGTGATGACGCGCCATGTGACCAAGGAACGACTCTTCAGATAAAAGACGAGCACGGCACCGAGAACACGTATCACCCGATATAACCTGTGAAGTAAAATAAGGTGGTTTATAGAAATAGAAAATTAATATTAAAGTTACACAATTAAAACATGTAGTCAACTTACCTTGCAGTGTGTCAGCTTATGTTCGGCTAGTACCGCGGCAGAGGGCAGTACTTCATCACAGATGAGACACTTGTGTCTAGCAGCCGCTGCACCAGAATGGGCTCGAGTATGAGCCTCCAACTCAGCACGGCTTCGGGTGCGCTCTCCGCAGTAAGCACACTGCAGGGCGACAGCGCCGTTTTTCCGGCGTCGTTCTTCACTGGCTGCCACAACGGCAGTAGTCACTCCGCCACTTTCAGCACCGGGGGTACACGGAGACCTTGCATCATCGCCACCTTCAACACCATTGCTTGCTTCCATTCTTTTCACTCTAGGTAGATCTCCGTTTAAGACCTGAAAAGATATTTTTATTTTTTACACAATTACATAAAAAGGTACCTACACTTTTAGGTGCGTAAAATTAAACGGATCCCTTACCTGTTGTTGCATTGCATGATGCGCTTGCATATGCCTTTCAAGTAGATACTGCACTGCAAAAGCATCGTTGCATGCTGGGACAGGACAACGATAGGCGCGATGTGGCCTGGGCGTCCTCGCAGCCACACCGCTGCCAAGCAAGGCCCCACACGCACAGCGCGGGGCAGCGGCTGCGTGCCGAGAGCGTACGTGGGCAGCGCCTTCAGCTTCAGAGCGTAGAGCACCCGCACCCACACCACAAGAACGACACACCCACACCTTGTTTTCACCGCTGTGTGCTACAGCAAAGTGAACCTGTAAAAATTCTGATGTAGATTTTCTGTTTTCTTTTTTTGTTTATTAAGCAAAACACGAATAATAATTGATAAAATTATAATAGTACAATGCATTTCTTCTCACCTGAATTGCAACCTTCGAATCAAAGACTTCCTTGCATAGAGCACACCTATAAAGGTGGTGAGCATGCAACTCGAGGAGATGTTTTTGCAGGTCATCCGGAGCTGAGAAACTCCTAGCGCAGCTATGGCAGGTGTATTCGCAGGAAACTGCCAAGTAATGAGCCGTCAAGTGTCGCTCCGAAGCTGCGGCATCCGCAAAGGTAGCGCCGCAGTGTACACACGGAGCAGGGCTTGAGCGTCCTAGCTCTCCTCCTTCCTCTAAATGTCCTTTCAAATGAGCCCTAAAAGCTTCAAAGTCCGGTAAAGCGGCATCGCATTGATTGCAGAGCAGTGTGCTTGGTGATAGAGTTGTTTGAGGAGTGCCTGAGCCGGATCGAGGACGTTTCACTGGGGGTACTTCATCGGGAGCTCGCCTACTTAGATCTGTAGGTGCAGGCTGATCCACTTGGACGGGTCCCTCCCCATTTAGCAGGGCAGAGTGTGCCGCACGGACATGAAGTTGTAATTGCTCCATACTGGTGAAGGTGTCGCGAGTGCAATATATGCAGGCGAGCAGCGTGGGCGGCGGTTGAGAGGCGACACGCCGAGGTGGGGTCATAGCTGCTGTGTCCACGCCATGGGCGCTCACCATGTGGGCCTGAATGAAAACAATAAAGCAAAAGTTAACATTTTTAAAGTTTTGTTATCAAACACAGCTGGATACATAGAATATTTAATATAATAATAATAATATATTTGTGAACGTTTCAAAAGTGGAACCGTACCTGGAGCAGGTCAGGTCGTCGGAAAGCGTCTCCACATCTGAGGCAGCGCAGTGCTCGACGCCTGTCAGGCTCCCGGCCCTCGCGGTCCCGCTTGTGGCCCTGCATGTGTGACGTCAAAGCTGCTGCTGTGTTATATCCTCGATTGCACACAGTGCATTGGAACGGCTTCTGATTGTCGTGTGTTTTCATGTGAATCTTCAAGTGGTCACTGAAATATGTCGGTTATAAAACTATAACAGGGTTCATCTTTTGCTCTCCTAAATTACCTAGTTGACCATGCAATTTGGGCTTAGGTACTCATAATGTAAATGGAATTAAATTGAAAGTTAGATATTGTGAAAATCGATAGCAACATAGTTAAGGTCTCGTATAGTACCTATACCTTAAATCTGTTTCTAAAATATCTGAAAATACCCGTGTAAGGATTTTAAAATTGAGACAAATCATCTTTTTGTGTATAAGCCAAGACGTTAATTTGTCATCTGAGACATAAGTGGGCACATAAAGCACGGACCAAACAGAACTAACAAAGAGGCTTTTCACGCAAACTACAGAATAGAGGCGCTCGCCCAAACACCTCCGCTAATGGCCACGCTCGCCGTGCCCGTTTAGGTATGGGCCATTATTTCATTTTTGTGAGACCCTCGACGTCATTTGTCAGCGCATCATCTCTTTTCACTCGTCGCCGGTTAGTTGGGCCGACAAATTGCATGGAATTAGTCACGTGGTCGCGGTAAGGTGACGAAAAAGGTGACACGTCGCCTTACGAACGCACGGTGCCCGTGACTTATGGTGATCAATCTTGCTCTTAGCCTTTGTCATGCACGCATCTTCTGAGCATTCTTTTAACCATATATTAATCTTGAATGGCTTCGGATTAGACGCATTAGCATTCTCTTTGTATGCATAACCATTTATAGTGGTAGATGTATTAGGTGGGTTTAGAAGTGGAAAAGTAGTTTTTTTTTGGGTTCTTAAAACTCCCTTTGAAGTACAATATCCTATACAAAGATTATGTTAGGGATCTCACCTCCTAGAGAACGCTGACTCGCAATGAGCGCAGCGGTACTTGCGGTCTCCAGTGTGCAGCTTGACATGCCGGTCGCGGGACCGCTTGTGCTTGAACAGGCGAGAACAGAACTCGCATCGGAAGGGCATCTGATCTGAATGCGTCTGCAACAATAACACACATCTTATGGCTTGTTTTCTTTTAAATAGAAGTTAATTTATCTTTATTTACCTATAAGTTGTAAAATATGTGTAAAATACATTAATTTCATTGAAATCTAAATATTTTTATTTCAATAATTCTGATCACGGGTCACTCGAACCTATCAGCATGCGGGGCCGTAATGTGTCTGTTAAATATTAAAATATATTCTGTTCTTTCGGAAATCGTTTAATTTTCACATACAATTGTACCTGTTACTAAAATCCCGATTGTATTTTAATTAATGGAACTTGATGGACTTGACTAGGTAAGTTAATAACTTCAATGAGTTACATAAACGTAAGATCAAGAGAAAGCTTTGACATTCCATCATTCAAATTCCATGTTCACATGCTGACCTTCAAATCGAATCAAACAACTTGTAATCGATTACATGAGGAGCGATTAAAATGTGTACACATTTACGTCACACAATATCGAATCGAAATAACTTCGGGTGCGCTGATCATAAAAACTATCGTGAGAACGATCTCGGAGACAATGGATCGACTACCGCTGGGTCTGCGTGAGCTGGTCAGCTTACGGAGTTACGATCTACCGGCGTTTTGTGTCAATAGAGAGAAAAAATAAAAGAACCCAGTAAGCTCGTGACGTACGAATAAGATATCGACCATTGGGAACCGCTTCATCGCAGATCGATTTCAACCGATAATTGTTCAATTAATTATTTCTGTATCAATCGTTTCTTTTGATCTTTTCGGTATTCTTACTCGCTACTAACTGCGTTCTCATTGGAGCAACAGTAGCGTCTGTTTAAATTGGATCGACTAATCATAAAAAATAACTAAACTAAAAACGAAATGTTTTTAAACGTTCCCATCATTTAAAAAAAACATTTAGTTTTTAGTTTACTTAGATTTTTTCTTGTGTCATATCACAAACAAACAATTGCTCTTGCTATTGCAGCACACCCAGAGCCGGAACAACAATTTGCGGATCACACAAAGATTTGTTCTGTACGGGAATCGAACCCGCGACAAGTTGCGCGGCAGCCAGTTGCCCAGCCGCACCGAATTATCCAAACATTTCTTCGTCGAACATGAATATACTATGTATATTAATACCAAAAACAATAGGTTGCAAATCATTGAATTGTAGTTTCAGTATAGAATTCTAAGTTACGGTATAACGAATCGATACGTGTAACCGATAAAATTCCTGCGCGGGAGCAGCGGGCTTATCACAATGAGATGGATTTGATCGGTAATGTTCACCGGAACGCCTTTGCAGCGAACAACACGATTTGAGTTACGTATTCTTGTAACGGTTGTTCGGAACAAAAAGTGTGTACCCAGGCCGAGGCTGGACAGGTTATGAAAGACTGTTAAGCCATAAGTGCAATTCGCAGATTTCCCCATACATCTAGTCACAAAGGTGGTACTTTTTTATGGCCTTACAAATTAATGTCATGTCTTATGTAATCACGAAACTCATAATCTTCTTCAGCTATTATTCAATAATACTTTAAATTGAACTAGGTTTGAGAAGTGCTACGAAAATTCAAGGTTGTAACTTTACCTTGCACCTTAAACACGCCTCAAAACATTACCTTAAAACATTACCTTAACGTTACCTCGAGTTAATTGATATTTTTAAATTTAAACATGGGTTACATAGTTAGCTACGTATCAAAATATTTTATAGATATATTTTTCTTTATTAATAAGAGGGAAAAACATGTTTTTCGATTATACAACTCCAAAATACTACGACAAACAATGAGTCAGAATTTCAAAATAATGTCTAGTAATAGACTTGAGTCTTCAATAGTACACAGTTACATACACTTGTATGGTGCGAAGTTATGCCGCAAATTTTATGCTTATTGATTTATTATGGGAAACACATGATCATAAAACGCGTGCGGAGTTATTTGAGAACTCCAAAGCTATGTTGGACGTGACGAAATACGTTTAGTTGTAAAAAATAAGTATTATTGGGCTTAGTCAAAAGATTATTCATGAGTGAGGACATAATGAGGATGCTAATGCGGCGCTTGTGAATAGCGTGTGGCGATAATGAGAGATGTCCACGTCGCCGGCCTTCGCACCGCCATGAACTGGAGCTGGGCCGGCAGATAATAGGCTCCCAAACTGACAGCCAGTTCACGCTTTTACTAATTGACCACCTCCGCGACATTCATTCAGAGTACACTAAACAAATGTTACAAATGATTGACTCGCCTCTATTCCACTTCGGCTAACGCGTCCAACGTTTTGCGCTAAACAAACACGACAATAACATTAAAGCAAAACGTTTGTGTTAGTGCTCGTACGTCGAACGTACTTGAATGATAGTTTAGTTAACTACTTACAAAAATATTCAGTTTTCTTGTCAATTTTTTTGTAGTAAGCGTACTAACTCTTAGGATAATACAAATGATAGATTATTTTTAAATATATATTTAATAAAGACTTTTGTTTTACTTACTTGTATATAAAACCATAAATTCTTTATATATTAAGAAAACATGATATGAAGTTAAATACCTAAGCTAACAAAACCCAAGCATAACAGCGAATTCACTTTTCTGCGCAAATAAAAATTCTAAAAAAATGGCGCTAGTTAGCTTTAGGGACAATAGTAATGTTATTTACAGCTTGGCCCGGGGCGCTTAAGGTCGTGCGATCCCAATTACCAGGAGGCTATAACCTATTAGAGCCACATCACAATTTGTTAGCACTAGCTTGTTAGCCACTGCCACACCCCCAGAGCTTGGTAACAAAGAATTATTTATTTAACACTTGTTGTAACAATGCTATTGTCCTGCCATTTATTTTTTTTATATTCATATTTAATTAGCTACCTACCAGTAGATTTTGCTGATATGCATGCATTTCGTATTTCATATGTAAGTACATTAAAACATTTTCATTTTTAACAAGACCACCTTGTATGAATGAATAAATAAATAGGTGTACCTACTTCCGAGTAAAACTTCATTAGGTATATATGGTTTATATACCTAATGAGTATTTATATACTCATTAGGTATATAAAATAGTTTTAAAAATTCATTAGGTATATAAATACTCGAAGGTAATAAAAGCCTGGGAAACAAATTCACAGTCAAAACTCCACTAGTTTCAGGCACCGGACGCTGACATGGCGGTGGCAGTAAGAATGTTCGTAAAATGTTAAAGACAGCAAAAGATTTAACGATAATTATTTTTAGAATAGTTATCATGATTTTCACTTCGAAAATCGAAAATCAGCTCGTATTTTTTTTTCTTTAGCCAGCTCCAGCAATGCTGATATAATATTTTATTTTCACTATTTAATGGTTTTACATACATACATATAAAATTTCTACATACATATAAACCTTCCTATTCAATCACTCTATCTATGAAAATAAACTGCATCAAAATCCGTCGCGCAGTTTTAAACATTTAAGCATACATAGGGATGCACAGAGAAAGCGACTTTATTTTTTACTATGTAGTGATAAGAAAAAAAATATCATAAAATCGACGTCAATAATTAATTCAGTTAGCGGGTATGGCGTGGTAACCAAGATCATGTACGACAAATTATACATATGTAGATGTGAACACGTTATGTTAAGTAAGAACCTATTGCAAAGTTGTAAACATTTTGATATCATTCAAGTGATAAATGACCGATCTATTATTATAAATCTATCAACAGGATGTAAATAAGCAATAAATTTATACGTTTTAGCGTGTGAGTGTCACATATACATAGGTAAATAGATTTGTATAAACAAATATGTAGGTACAACGTTCGTGTATTAAAAACTGTACTTCGTACTTTGGACTAATATCATAATTAGTAATATTAGGTATCAGTTTTAGAGTAATAGGGTAAGTAATTATCTACAACATCGAATACTCATGAAGACACATTATAAATCATATCGCTCTAGAAAACTTTGTCTAATGGACTAATTGATAAAGCAAAAATTGCAAAACCTCATTTAATATTTTGTAGAATATCTAAAAGATAGATTTCCCTGGTTACTTGTTTTCTTGCTTCTTCAATGTATCGTAGAACACCTACCAGACAAAACGCATAGCTTCCCTTTTTTTATTATTTTTTTTAAAAAACTTTGCCCCACTCTAGGTTTACTCCTGTGTCGTGGGTGCCTTTACAAACATGCAATTTCACATACACATCACGCCCAGACCCGAAATAACAATTTGTAAATCACACAATGAGTTGTTCCGTGCGGGCATCAAAATCGCGACATATTACGCCGCAGCCTTTTGCCCAGTCACCGCGCCAACCGTGCAGTCATTAAAAAAATACGTCATTAAATAGTTTCAAAGTACAACAAACAATAACAAAAACGCATCAAAATCTATTAAAGCTACGTTTTAACAGTAACTAAATAAAGCACTAACTAAGTAACACCGCTAAATTTCACTGACACAATAGAAAAAAGATTTAAATAATAAGACCATCTCCCGGCCTATGATGACTACCATGTCTAGCACAGATTGATAAGTACCACGTATCCTGACTGAGTCGGCAGCAATTATGGGCAAGGAGTCCGTACTAATTGGGCTAAGTGGCCTTATTTCCGCCGCACCGAGCTTTCTTTTCAAATGTACTGTCCTACTATTAATTGTTTTAATACAACCATAACTTTACCTTTCCTGCTCCTTATAAGTAACTGTTTATTCATGAATGGGATGCTTACTTGTCTAGGTATCTACTTGAAATGTAATGGATAGTTTTCTTAAGTATTTATATTTTTTCCACATAATTAATAGGTAATAAAAAGTATTTTACCATGAAAAACTTCTTCTTCTTAGCTCTTTCTAAATAACGTGTTTTGTATATGTATATAATACCGTATGTGTACCTATGTTTGTAAAGACCGGCACCTTTTACTAAAACCTTTAAATATTTATGTCGTTCAACGAAGATGGGAGTCTATCTGGTGTCTTATAAATACTAAGATCTGAGTTGATAGCTCAAGAGCTGATCGTTTATCTCACGATTTTTATTACCTAGTAGAGTTAGCACTTAACTAGATATTCACTTAATCGTACTGTTTAAAAAACCAAAAGGAATAATCTTCTAATTAAATTCCATTCACATAAAGCAGTGACGCGACTCGCAAGTGATATTTAAATCACATGTTGTGATTAGCGGTGGCCGGTGAGTGACGTGCGAATTTTACCGCGAAGCGCCCGCGCACGATGCACTGCACATCGGCACCGGTACAGCAACACATAAACATAGCAGCGGCATGTTTACTCCACTCACTTAATTGGAGCAATCGGCCCCTGACAGAATTAATAAATTTGATCGTCCGTGCACGATAAATCGCGCCCCGCTCGCGCTCCGCCAGCGCCCATGCCCACGCACTCATTTAAGAGGAAGCTACCCTCAGCGTGCGCCAATTAGACGCTCGCCAGATTGACAATCGATTAATCGATAGCTCGATGTACGACGTTGTTTTATTGTTTTGGCAATATCGCTCTTTGCAGTTGATTGTCCTAATGCGAGTTACACGTTCTTGAATATATAATTTATTTTTACAAAATATTGTCTTGTCATCATGATACTTCGTGCGAGAATTCAATAAGCGAAACGGGCCGCCCGCGCCGCGGGGTCTCGGCCCCTGAGTGCACTGCGGAGCCCTGCTGGCCGCCGCGTGCTGCTCCCACCACGACACTTCACCGTGCTTATGGTAAAAAGACACGCGAATGGTATGTATCACGTCTAGTTATTTAAACTGCTAACAAACACCGTGAGAGCGACCGACATTATGCTCCTAATGGTGGTGAGCTTTCCGAGTAAAGCGCACCAAGAACATTTTAAACTAGTTTGAGGTGAACGTGATAGCCAATAAAAGCACGAGAATGGGCAGCGGTGGCTACTGAGTAACTTTCTCAGATGAATAACTGCTCGACATCGCCGGTTCACACAGCCAGATGATGAGACTGCGAGGTCATCGCAGATGCTGGTGCCCATTGCTAAGGCGATAACAGCACCCGACAACAACTCAGTAACGAGATCCAGTTTGTTATAAGTCATTCCATGTAAACATAAGTATTATGACAAACAAGATTTTAATAATTTTGTTTACGTAGATACGCCAGCGGTCGCTACAAAATACTCAAGTTTTACAAAACAAAATGAAAATTTAAGTACTACATGAATTGAATAATATTTATGTACCCTTCACTATACGGAGCGCATGCAGAAAAATGTTAGCCTTTATGATAAAAAATCTTAATATTCTTGTGAATCACAAGTTCTCCGAAACAGTAGCTCTACTTCGTTGGCGCTCGTACCTACTGTTATTAAGATGTCAATCTTTCGGCCGCTCTAATTTTTTACATTCATCTTGCATCTCAACTCAAGTAAGTATGTCAAAATAACAAAATTGTTGTTATTATTTAACTTCTTAAACTTAGATCATGGACATAGTTGCTACCTAATTACCGATAGACTAAGACACACTGTGAGTTACTTTTTACTGAAAACTGTTTTTGAAATTCAATGCTCAGGTGGGACAATTTAGAAACGTCATTTAGCTTTTCTCTTCTGCAACAACCCGCAGCAGTCAATCGAATGTAATCTTGCAAGACTGTGGTGTTCACACAACTCCGAAAGTTTTACGATTTCGATTACTCGTAACTATCGCATGAGCTAATTAAGCTGGCCCGTCGAGAACTGTTGTTCCAAGCTATCAATTGTATTTCAGCATTAAAGTAATATTTTCTACGAGACGTTTTACTGCTTTACGATTTCTCCGGAGGCGCAATGAGAACAAGACGAATGGCGGGTATGCGTGGACTTTGTAATTGATTTATTCTTATAATGATCGCCTTTCCCAAGCAGCGGCGCGATGATAAAGGTGTGGCGAGCTAGGCTAGGGAGTTGTTATCGCGAGCCTATTTCCGGCCGTCACCGCGCTGCTGTCGCGGCTGCGCGACGCGATCATCGCGCGATACATTTGTCGGCGCACACCCGACACTAGCAACGGCCGCGATGCGCTGATCGATATCGACGCGAGCGCAACACGCCAATTGCATACCGATAATCTAATGAAATCCTTTCTTGATATTCGTCTCTCTTATCTTAGCTAAACACGACCGAGACCTCCCCTAATTTTAATTTTGAACGAGGTGACGGTTTTGCCACTTGAAGCGTACGTGCCGATCCATATCCGTATGTAGGCGAGCAGCTCGCGGCGGCATGCAAAGTGACGTTTCTATTTGTCCTATCGCAGCTAGATCTGTCTCGGCGTGTGTCGTAATCGTAACGCGGCGAGATCGGCGCGACACAAAGGAGCCGAGATGTACGGCCGGCATAATGGCCGCTCACGTCACAGCCCTCAGCTCAGCAGCGCGCGATGCAGCCGAGAGCGATGCATATCTACGCACCGGCTCTGTAAATGGGCTGTTTTGGGTATCTACTTGCTAATGAAGCGAGGGAATGCATGGCGAAACTGCCCTGTGGATACACAGATATGATTGCCTCGGCAGTCGGACTGTCTGCGAAGCTGTTAGCTTCATTACTTTATGGAAATGACTTGACCTCAGGTAGGTTAGCTGTCTCAAATGTTCGTAGCGTTGGTCTAGATGTTCTGTGAATATATGCCGCAGACTTTAATGAAGATTGCGAGTGTAGGATGGGATGCGTTGGTTAACCGTAACAAAAGTAACTACATAGGTACGTATAAGAATATACATACCTGTTCATGTTTTTTGAGATAGGAAAGCCTGGGGAAAGCTTTATCGCAGAACTGGCACTGGTAAGGGGTATGCTCTGTGGCGCCGAGAGTGAAGGGTGGTTCGGCCTCAGCGTCGGCAGCATCGGCCGAGGTTGGTGTGGAGGCTGGCGACGGTGACGGCTCCGGCGTCGACGACGGCCAAGAGCTGCCCGCCGTACTGCCCACACTGCCCAGCGCCTCTGTAGGAACATTATCACTTGAAAATCGACATAATAGTATCCAAAAACATAACAATAACTATAATTATTTTGTCTACTAAACATCAAGATCCTATTTCAATACAAAAAGAAGATTTCAAAAACGTCTCACTATTATATGCTCCTAGTTCATTCACAATCCCTCATTCCATCTAAACAATAACACTAAATTCCGAAACTGATCTTGTGCCACAACCAAAATTTATATGCATTCATTTATCTGTAACCGCTAAAAGTCGTTGGCTGTCAAATAGTTAAGAATAATAATATCAATTTGAAGATTTTCCAAGGAGTGTAAAGCACATTAGGGGAGACAGTCGCATTTCTTATAAAGCCTTCATAAATATCGGTAAGGGTCCATATTTCGGTGTTAGGGCTAGAGGCAATATGTCTGGCACCTCGGAGTGCCGTGAAATATAAACAAATTGAATGGCCCGCAATGACGAGCGGCGTCAGCGCAAATGATGACTAATGTTGGAAGGTAGCGACTAGCGAGACCCGACGCTGGAAAGCTCTGAACGCCAACTGCCACCGACTGTACGTATATGTGAAGAAAAATATAAATAAGTAAGATTTTTTTAAATAAAACGTACATAAGTTTTATAAAAAATTGTTTTAAGATTATGATATCGGAATGTCTCTCTTGACATGCTTTAATAAAAGGATGTTACCGTACAGTTTTTAACACTCTTCGAACATGTCATACATACACGATATTTTTTCTTTATCATCAATAATGTAAAAGCTTGTCTTTAAAAATGATGCAAAAGTAAAATTGAAGTAGGGTGAATTGGATGAATATCGTATTTCATAGCCTTAATAAACTGTGAAAGTGTGTCTTCACCTTTTACTATTAGTAATTACTTTTTCTCTTAAAACCGTGTACCAGTCATCGTGTTTGACAAAGAAAGACCAATGTATTGCACATTGCACAAGATCGACGCTCCTCATCAGAGAAACCTCGACGGAAGCTAATTAAAATGTAATTAGAAACATTAATTTACTTATATATCCACATTTAAATCCAACAAGTATCTACTTAGTATAATACCCACAATTTATTACAAGAATAAACCATTCATTACATTTTTCGCAATAAAACATTTCTTTTTCGACTTATTTCCCTCCGTGAGGCGTATTTAATAAGAGGAACTATTTATATCAATCTGTCGCCCTCCACGCCCCGGACGCGGTAACGACTTCCACTAATGGTCAAAATAATGATAGCTAAGAATTACATACGTACCTAACTACATATTACGTATAACAAAATATTTAAATAGACTGATTCGCTTTTAAAATTAATAAAGAAATAGGCTAAATAATTCAGACATTGGGATGTCGGTTTCTGAACTGATGGATATGAACAGCCTAGTTTTACGATCGTCACGTACGTCTCACATGACCGGCACTTTACAGAACAAGTAAAACAACAGTATCTAATGACACGAGCACACCAACGAGCGAGGCTAATAAAAAGGCAGGGCGGCGTCTCCGCTGCAAATAACACTTGGCGCAGCATGTAACGGGACTCGTGCAATTTTAGCAGTAGTGGCTGGATGTGGCCGCATGGCCGGTCACTGAGGATAGCCGTAATTAGCAGCGATTGCAGGCAATTCCTCGCCGGGTGACGGTGGCGCCGCCGCCGGCGACCGGTGGGCGGCGGAAGCACACTTCCTAATTGCGCCGTCTACGAGACACCTCGACCGGCGCCTCGGTAATCAACGCCAATCGCTAGCCGACAAACCACTTTATAATGCCCGCAGACCTTGATTTTGCAAATGCGACGGTAAGCTCTAATGAGATTACTTCTTATTTTTTTATATTATTGCTAATGTTCTCATCGATCAGCCCAGGTGAGCTGTCAGGGTTACAAGGAACATACATCAAGTTAGGTTTGCCTACAATCAAAAGCTTTCTCGGAGTCTGCGATAATGAGTAGCTAAGTAGATATATTTTTATTCTGGATTTTTAGAGTTCGGTTAGGTAGGTTAACATTTTGCACGGCAGCTGCCGTTTACTTTGCTTCTTTCTTGACTAAAATGACACTCTTTGTTACATTCGACATCATTTACTTCCTTCAGAAGACACGTGAGGTTAAATGAAAAGCTGGGAAAAGAAAAGCTTTATAAAAAAAATGTCCGTCAGTTAGATTATGGAAGACGAATATCAGACACGTAATTTGCCTTAAAAGAAAACAATACTCAGACAAAACGAATCAGTCATAAGAGTGGGAGGTAGCTATGTCAGCGCTTAGTATAAAATGTACTAAATCATGACGCCACACGATATTTCAAAAATATTGTCGAAAGAATTTCGTTTAAAATAAACACATCATTCTAATGATTTGATGATTAATCTACATACTTATGAAAATACTCACCATCCCTATACTATGTAGTCATTAAACATTTAAGACATCACGGAAAAACCTATCTAATCAATCTACAAGACGTTAAAACTGAAACGTTAATGATTTCCCCCTTATGATTGTTCTAAAACAAACAAGGAATTACCGAAAGAATACGAAGATAAGCATAACATCTGGCTCAGTGATTGATTCAGATTTGTTTGCACGCAATTTTAAGGCCGATTACTCGCGACGACACGGATAGAAAGATAAATGAGTTGATTAAAGTTTAATTGCAGCGGCTACATAAGTGGACGGTGGAACGGCAACCATTCATTTACATTAAGATAGCCGAATGCTTTTTTTACGATCCCGTATCAGGCATCCTAGATCGACCGGTCTCGTCTTGACTAGATATTCAATGATAATACTGAACAGTTTAATTCTTGTTTGAATTGATAAGCTGAGATTGATTATGTTATGCTTTGGAATCACATTATACATTCAAATTGCGTTAAGGTAAAGTTGCTCTTTTGATCTAGATTTGGTTAGGAAGCTACTGAAACGTTTCGGTAAGAAATTTTAGATTGGAGAAGGAGTAGAAAGAGGCTGTTTTTAGTCAGTAAAGGTCTAACACTCCCTCTTAACCCACCTAGGACAAGAGAAGTCATGTGATGATTTGCCCCCTTCAAAAAAAAACCTAAATCACCAAGCAATTTAATTTTCATTCCAACTTGGTGATATTTTGGTATTGGTTTAAAGTCAAATGTGGCAGAATCGTTCTTAGGCGAGAATGTACCAGCCCGGCCGAAATAACTGACTGCATGGTTAGCGAAGTGGCTGAGAAACTAGCTGCCGCGCAATGTGTCGCGGGATCGATTCTCGCACGGAACAACTCTTTGTGTGATTCATAAATTGTTGTTCCGGGTCTGGATGTGAGGTGTACTTATGTGAAATTGAATGTTTGTTTGTAAACGCAACCACGGCACAGGAGAAAATCCTAGGGAGGGGAAAAGTTGTTAAAAAAAAAATTACGGTCTCACAGAAAATCGACGTGAAAATACGCGTGTAATGTTGAAAATGAAGTTGTCGGAATCCCAAGCTTCGCCCTAAACCCTTCATGCCTAAACCTTAAAGCTGATCATAATATCCATATGTTGCATTTCCGCCAAAAATTTTTGCCCTACAAAATTGTAAAAAAATGATGACGATAAAGGAAAATTTAAGAACGTTTACGTGGCACAGGTTTCTTTATAAACTTTCCAGTCCCAAATAAGGAATGCAAGTGACAAACCGACTTTAAAACAAAACTTCGCACTTATAAAATAACATTCTAAATGACCAGTATGAACAAGCTGATAATTAATTCATATTGTTTTAAAATGCAAATAATTAAGTATAATCTTTCTGTCTTTAAAAAAGACTTACGGCTAAGTAAGTAAACTTACCATCTTAACAAACATTTTAAACCTATATTAATATCAAAACATGGTTCAAAATTGATTATTATCATGGAGTAACCTCGACCCCATCAAGTTTGACTTTAGAGTTTGTTTCGTAATTTCTTTTCAGAGTAAACCAATAGGAAATACTAATACTTTAATTTAAATTGAAACCTTTTTGTAAAATAAGAGCACGTAAATGTAAACCTTCATGATTGATACCTACGTTTAAAAATAGTTCTGTTAAAAGACAATATTAGCGAGTCATCATGTGTCTTCTAGAATGTTCTTGAACAAGATATATTCATAAACATAAGCCCATGTATTGTTTTTAAAGGTTGTCCCATTCCCGGTTTTCTTCTGTCATGGATGCGGGAAACCCGTCATAATTTGTAACATCCGGATCAACTGTGTAAGTTTGGGTTTTTACAGAGGACGGTTTGCTTTCTATTTTCCACGCGCTTAAACCGATTAGACTAAAGAAACATCAGGTTTATTCAGAAAGCCACCATACTGACTAATATTTCTTTAATCAATTAAAAATAAATTATGATAATGTTAAGTATGTATATTAAAATATCCGGCAATATTACACCTTGTGTCGATGCTTATCAAGGAAGATACTTTGAAAGAAAAAAGTAATACACATTTATATATTTATTATAAACTTCATCCGCGAAATAACGATGAATGAAGTTCGAAATTTAGATTTGTAAGACTTTTTCCAACATTACATACTTCGGATTTACTTAAGTGTACAACTTTATGATTAAATCTATTTTTTTATTATATAAAAGAAAGTCGTGTTAGTTACACTATTTATAACTCAAGAACGGCAGAACCGATTTGGCTGAAAATTCGTAGGGGGGTAGTTAAGAACTGGGAGAAGGACATAGGATAGGATAGAGTAGGTAGTGTAGGTTAAGTAGAGTAGGTTAGATAGAGTAGGGTAGGTAGTCAAGTGACGGGAGCGACGAAGCAAGTGAGAGCTAGAAAGTTCATAAAAAAATATTCAATAGGACAGGACTGTACCTACTCATTAACAAAAACTTAAAAAAAACAATTGAAGAATTCATAGTATTTTGGCGAATTTATTTAACACACACGATAGACTACAATTAGATACTTTTATTTATTTATTTTATCCTACTCTTGACGCAGGGAATACCCATGACGAGAATCCTTAGTAG